ACGTCAAAAAGTCGTCATAAATAAGTCTCCAGTAACACCAGAAAAAGTCGCCAGATTTGTCGCTAGTTGCTTTTTAGAAAAAAAGTCGCTAAGGGGCTCTGAAAACTCGCTAAATATAGCAACAAAGTCGCTAAGTTGGCAACACTGCTGCTGTTAAGGTGCAGGAAACTGCTGCAATGAGTTTTGCGCAGTCTGACGTTGGGGTGAATTTGCTGGGACATCCACTCCAGGGAAGATTGTGGCATTGTATTATTAACACACAGCTTAATATTCCAGACCAGCAAACTGCCCAACCCTCTGCTTTATAGAGGTGGTCCCATTAGCTCATGATTAATTAATCCAGTGCATTTGATTAGTAGCATCTAGCTGCTACACAGCCTCTTAACTTCATAATTATGGAAATAATAAGTGAAGACGACACAGAATTTAATGGAAAATTATTTTCACGTGACTCTAACCTAAAATCATGCATGTCAGTTTCACAGTTCAGCTGTACAGATGCAGCAGATGATTATTCTGTCAGTTGGCCTTGGAGTTGCTTATTATCACTACTAATTTGCTGACTTCAGGTGAATATTTATCGCACAGGCATAAAAGGAGGGAATGTTTTTTCAAGCAAACAAGTTTTTATTTCCCAAATTTTAAATTATTACCTTAAAATGCTTTCTTTTATACAGCACACAAACAATCCTCCTGTTGATTAGACCTCCCCCAAAGAGTCCAAAATAACAACACTATCAGCCAAAAGTAGCTTTTCGTTTTCATTTGAAAAGTTTAAACTGATTTTTTTATTTTCTTGATTAAGTTCCTGCTGTCTAAGAAGCAGCAGGAGAGGCAGTGAAAAATCATTAGTCAGAGTGAAGTTTAGTCTAAGCTTCTGATTGATCGGAGCAAGTTAGAGAAAGCAAAGGAAAGACTGTCGGAGACACGGGGCTGAAAAGAAAAACTCGAGTCGCAGCCTGCTCCTAACACCTGACCTTGAAGAAGTCATCTGAAAATTTGCGAAAAGCACAGTATAGAAACCATCGTCTCATCACTGCTTATTGCACTCTTCCATCATTTATTCACACTGCCTTATCAAGCTTTTGCCTCCTTCCCACCCTTTTCTCCTTTTTGTTGCAGTCTTGACTCATTTACTGTCAAGCTCCTTCAACTCTTACCCTTCATGCTCTATGCTCTTACAGCACCTCACTCCCACTCCACCTACTCTCTGCTCTCTCCTCTATTTCTTATTCTTTCTTTGTGAACAGCACAGACCCATAGGCATGAATGTAATATGAGGTTATTCTTTTTATTAGAGCTGGCTGGGCCTGGCCGGGACAATCAGTCATCAGTGAGACATACAGTAAAAGGGTCACACGGGAGGGGGTGAGGGAGTGCAGAGAGACAGAGACAGAGAGGCTGCGGAAAACAGAATTCATCCAGAATGCAGCAAGAAAGAGACGGGGCTAAGACGAGCCAAACCACCAGAGAGAAAGTGAGGGACCTCTGCGAGCGGGACGGAGACCTCTGCGAGATCGCTGTGGATGATGAGTGTGTGTCGAGCGCAGGCAGCCTAATGACCGTGGGGACGGCAGTCCTGCACTATCCTTCAGCTACCCTTGCAGAGCGGCATCAAACTCTCCCCTGGGCTCCCTTCAGGCTGATGAGGAACACAAACAAGCTTGCCCTGCCATAGAAATTATTCAAGATATGTGTAACTGTACCAAATGTAGATGGTTCAGGTTTGTGACTCTTCTGCACAG